ATATATATATGTGTGTGTGTGTATATACAGACATTTTTACTAAGCACATCTATTTCATTTATTTATTTTATTTTTTGAGAAGAATGTTTTGAAAACGTTTAGTTTTTGTTGCAATAAGCACACGTGTAGGCTCAGATAGCATTTGATTACCATCATTTGACAAAATGCAAATAAAAAATGGTGACAGATTTCATGCTAAAGATTAATCATGCTATGTATGTTATATTAACAATAAAATACTTCTGTAAGAGCACAATCTAATGTCTGTATTAATCATAAAAATATGTTTTTATCATTGATCCATAATCCCATAAAGAAGTATTAATAAAATAGTTTTAGTTGTGCTGTTTAACTGGAAATGTATCAGTGTTACAGAATACTAAATGTCTAAGCTTTCCATGATTTTCCCCTTACTGTAATTTTTTTTCTTTTTCTCAGTCTTAAAAGATGTTATAAAAGTAAACAAAAAGGCTTTTCCTCAAAAAAGCCCCAACCCAATTTAACCTTGTGCGTAAATGTCGACCAGTTATAATTTTCGCAGTTTAGGAAAATGCTCGTGTCTGCACATAATCACAGCTTGCATTAATCAGTGTTTTTCTTACAGATGGTTGAAGCATAATGTAAACCTGTAATTTAAAAAATGTGTACGTACTGTGTGTGTGTTTCTCTCAGGTCGACCCATCGTGTTGTCTCAGCCGAGCCCGTTACTGCAGATCCAGACGCAGTGCGCTGTCCCTGGCGGTATGGTGGCTATGCCAACACTCAGCCAGGACAAGCACGTTCCTGTAGCTGCAGCCCCGCTGGTGTCTGTCCCACTTCGGACCCCTTCTTCAGATGAAGACGTGAGTCAGTCAACACTGACAATCACACATTCATCCACAGTAACTAACAGAGTTTAAGTTAATTGCTGTAATTGGTTGTCTAAAACCAGTCAACAGACCCAACACTTGTCAGGGCTCTGTCACACTGTTTTACACGGCTTATGCCGATTTATGAAAATTTTGTTCAACATTCTGGCAATGCACAGCATATCGAAGGAGAAATACATAAAATACATACTGTAGATATACCATATTGCTAATGAGTTAAACAAATATACAGTATAACCTATGGTTGTCTTATGAGTAACTTATCCATAATTTATTTCTACTTATATAACTTATAAAAGCTCATGACAGTGTTTTTGACTTATGCAGAGCTTAAGGCTCCCACATACTCGGGTGTACTGTGTGCAGTATGTGAGCTGCGCGGACTCTGTGCATATTGTCCGCAGACGTTAGAGAGTTCATACTCGAGCGTACTGACCGCCTGACAAATTCTTTAATTTCTCACGATTTCAGTCATGATGTCAAGGATCAGGAGGAAGAGATAGTTTGCATTTTAGCTTTAAAACAACAAAAGAAAAGAAGTACTTACCCAGGATCTGAGCTATTTCCTCCCACGAATTTGTTGCTCGTCTTTAGATTCCTTCGTTGACGCGTCATAAATATTTCTAATCTCCTCCARGAGATGCTCTTCAAATTTTGACTCCATTTCKATTTCGTCCACAAATGACATAGATTTTCAACTTTGTCTGCTTGGTGTCGCATTCAAAACAGTTTGACGTGAACTCACCGGGCAGTTTATTGTGCGACTCCGCAGACGTGGACATAAAAAATTCAACTCTGCGCGGACCAGTCCGGTGGACGGCCGCTTCGAGTCCGAACTGAGTCCGCGCGAACCTCCACAGAGTGAAGTGCACTGAGTATGTGGGGGCCTTTACGCCCAGCATTTGTATAACTTATGCCAAACGTATGCATCACAACTTGGAAAATATAGCAACAATCATGTGACACCAGAWAGGAGTTCCATTATAAGGTGGTCCTAAAAGTCAAACTCCCATCACCTCCCGATACAAAGTCTCACCTAATTTCTCCTGGTCCTATCGGCTTAGAACATTTCAAAGTCAGTCAGGTCAATTTGATGCTAGAGAATGGCTGTTTGGTACTCTTGTACCAGTCTCTCAGGATCCTCCATCCTCTGTGGTGATAGTTATGAACCTCTGCACCTCATATATCCAGCAGGAGTGTTGATGCTCATCATTTGTACCCTATACACTGCTGAACCCAAAAATGCTGTAAAATACACTAGCTGTAAGTTACAAACATGTTCAGTAAGTTGTAGGGTCTTCAGCTATACATTGAATATTTCAATATATGTTAKAATTATAGAAGTACGGTGCTGATAGGTTGAAAATGTTATTTGTCTGCTACACAATTGCCCAGCTGGCTTTTGACATATATCAAATTATGAGTAACTTAATTTAACTCTTGTGAAATTAGGCAWAAGTTACAGGTATGTGACAGGTAAAGGCCCTATCACACTATAACATTTTAGACAACRCATGCAAACTTTGTGRCTAATTTACACATATAAACTCAGTAAACACTGGCAGGTAATATGTTTCTATGTAATTGWTAGCATRACAGTATGTACCCATCCAAAAGAAACAAACAAGTGATTGACCAAACAAAAAGTATTTGACATCTTTGTAAAAACATTTTGTCTCTCGCTGTGCGTTTGAGAYGCACACATGGCTTCATTTATTATCACTGTGATTAATGTGCTTATAGCGGGGGGGGGGGGGGAGCTTCTACTGCTCTGTTTGTCTAAAGTTTACAGCCTGGGTTGAAGGTTAACTGCTGCCTCTGTGTGCCAGTGAGCAATTTATATACAAACCCTCTTCATTAGAATTTATATTGCCTTCAGATGTCGTGTTTGTATTTGTGGACCTGCTTGTGTGCACTTGCATGCAGCTGCACAATTACAAGTATCCTGCTCCGACAGACATGCATGTACTTACCCTCTGTGTAACTGTGACGTTGTGATTTCCATACTCACATTCTGACTGGATCCAGTCCAACTCAAACTCTCTCATTTCAATCTTTTTTTAGTATTTGTTTTAAGTTCACAGACCATTAACTGGAATCTGTTTAAGATATAAAAATAAGCTGTTGATGGGAAAGCATTCAAACCTTTTTTATTTGTGGTAATAATGGTATTTTACCACACAAGTTTTTTTAAACTGAATGGACAATAGTAGTCGATTTAGACACTAATGACCATTTTATGAACAAAATTAAATGTAGTAGGCTTGTTTATGTTCACACTCTGTAAATAAAAGACACATCTTCACTTGGTGGAGCTGAATTAACTTAAAGTGTAAACGTACACATAGATTTTTGTAAAAACTGATTTTGTTTGTGTCGTTTTCTAAAATTCAGCATAGTTTTTAAACATTGTTTGAACAGTTTTATTTTTAAAAGCTTGTAAGGTGTCCACTTTTATCTTCCAACCTGGAAATAGATTATTATTGACAAAGTAAAGTTTTATTTATATAGCGCCTTTCACAGAAATAAATTCACAAGGTGCTGTACATTCAGGGAAGGGGGGAGGGGGCAGTTAAGAAACACATTCAAGAAAACATACAAGACAACATATATTATTCCAAGAAATGGTGTCTCAGTTTTATGAAGCTAAAAGCAATTTATAGAAGACATGTCATGCTTTTAAATCCTCTTTTTTTCACATTTAAATAATTCAATTGGGGTCTATATAAAGTGGAACTGCAATACTTTGGTCTGAATTCTTCCTTATTGTAACTCCATAAGCCCCTCTTTCACCTCTTTTCTGAGGTGTGTCTCAGATCAACTCATTTTGAGGCTGTCTCTTTAAATCCAGACAAGACGCTTCACACCCCGCCCCCTCGAGCTGACAGAGCTGTTCATTCTAGCTTAACGGAGGGGGTCTATCTATCAATGCAGAAAAAATTTATTTACAAATTAGCTAAAAGATGTGAACAACAGAAGACTTGTCCATCCAGCCTTCCATGTTGGAGCCAGAGTCTGACCCAGAGCCAGAGGAGATTGAAGACCACCAAACTGTAGCTAGTTATTCTAGACCTTATTTGGCAGTTTTGTCACAAATAATTTGACATAATAGTTCAGAAAAAGTTTTTAGAAAATCAAGAGAACAGAACAGAATAAAAAATATGACCCAAACAGAATTTAAGGATATCTATGCAGCTCTGGAAGAAACTAAATTAAACTTTTCTGCACTCCTAGACACTCAAAGTACACAACTAAATGCATTTAACTGTAAAAGTAAAAAAAAATAAATAAAAAGGATTTTGCATAATATGGCCCCTTTAAGGATGTTTTTTCGGCTTCAACCTTGTTTATACATTTGGCATGTTGTTTAATTGAGGTAAACATCAGATTTTTTTCAATTGTAAATTAAAAAAGGTAGATTGGTGTCGGATTGTTAGACTCAAAAGACACATTTTGTGATTCTCACACACACCATATTCTGTCCATTTAGAGAAATGCCAGAAAATACATTTGAAATTTTTAAGGAATGTTATAATATACAATTAAGAACAGCAGACTGACCCAAATATGTAACAAAATATGTTGGTCACTGCTAATCCACTCAGTTTACGATGTGTGATTGTGGTCTTACTCTGGTAGCTTGGTGGTCTTGTAATGCTGAGGCTGCAGGTTCGAGCCCAGGTTGTGTTGAGAAGAGCATCCAGTTTAATATAACTGTCAGATTTGTAATGCAAAGTTTGCTCACTGCAACAATCCCTGAAGAAAGGCTGAAATGAAAACAACTTGTGGTCTTTTGTTTGCATTTTTTTTGTTTTTATGTTGGGTGGGAAAGTATTTCACATTGTTTTTTAAGACTTGACGGTTGTTCGCTGGTGTTTGTTTCAGACTCTCTTAATTAGTTGTTCAGAGAGTGTTACTGTCACACAGTCACTTTCACTTTATTGTTAAATTTCTGCTCCCACAAAGTTGACCTTGAGGAGGGTTGACAAAACATGCTCTACCTCCACCTCCTCTTCTGTCATTCTACTTTTATTGTTAGCAGAACTTTGAGTGTGACTCATACACTGCCAGGCATTAAATTGAAAACAAAGCTGCAAAAATACATGAAAGTTCATATAAAAAGTACGAGACATAACTGAGCATGATTGGCTTTGTAATCACTGAGACCTGCGTGTCACGTAATGACATGTGACAGATGTGTTTGTATTAAAAGTGTTCACCTTTTTTTTCATTGTATAGAAAAGAAATGTGGAGCTGGCATCTGTAAAACCAACGAACGTTAACCATGACCTAATGTCATAATATTTGTTTTATTAGTCTGGGCAATTCATCTTGTGGTTAACAATGTTGGAACTTGTCCAGGTATTGTGGGTATAGTCAAGTGTGGAGATGCATTTTTCATACTAAGAGATTGATGTCAAGACTTTCTGCACCCCAAAGGCCAAAACAAATACCGGTACACCTTTCTGCCATTTTATGCAGCCAATCAAGTCAATAACATTGACAATAGGTGATTAAAGGAGAGGGGCTAAGCACATCTGAGAGGGATGGAAAGAGTATGTTTTGAGGCGTGTTTCTTATGAGAAGTAGTGGATGTTTTGAAATAAAGAGCATTTTCATCACTTTCTGTCACTGCAAAACATGTCAGAGATTTTAGGTGGCGGTCATAAAGGCAGAGCAGTGATTTCAGTGTGTGTTCTGATGAAGAATCTGTTGTTTGCGCTGTGTGAGAGTGGAGTGTATGCCGTGCTTGAACCCAGTGCAGCTGTGATCACTCATTGTGGTTTGGCTGGCTGTTGGACTTGTAAAATAACTTCTAAAATTGACATGCAAATGCCAGGTGTTGCTGCAAGTTGCCTCTAGTTTGCCTATGTGTGTCACTGTTTTTTTACAGCACTGTACTCTGGTTCACGTAAGCCTGGGTGTTTAAATGATTACATGCTTCAGGCAGGTGGTGTGAAGGGCGAAGTCTTTTGCGACAGCTGTAAACAGCCATCAGGGGATTGGGTCAGTGTAATGGTATAGGGTTCTACTCTGCGTGTGTATGACCTGTGTGTGTGTGTGTGTTTGTGTGCGTGTGTGTGTCCCTGACAAGGGAAAGAAAATAGTCCTACCATTAGTCAAATTGGAGGCTTCACCAGAGGGGATTCCAGCAGATGTTGTGTTGTGAACCTTAAGAGGAAAAGGGTCTTCAGATCAGGTTCATAAATAAATGTTTTTGTTCTCTAGTTTCTTTGCAATATTTTCTGGGCATCTTTAAGGCAGTTTAAATAAAAGCTTTGCATCTCTCATTTATTTAACTGCAAATAAAATGAACTAGGACTGACTGTTAACAACCCCACAATTCAATTATTTGTGTCACAAGTCGATTGGATTTCAGTTGAATATTTCTTCAAATGCTTCATTATCAATTTCATAGTAAGAAGAAGTACGAAAATAATTCATTGGAGTTTCTGTGGATACATTTTAGATATTTATTTTCTTGCCTGCATTAATAACAGTTTTGAGAAATAAAATATTTGAAAATAAAGTGGTAGCAGAATAATACTTGTTCTAAATATAGAGTGCAAATGTAAAACAGGACAAATTGGCCAGGGGATCGAATCTATTCAGAGGATTTTCTGAATCAATATTGAATTGGAAAGAAATGAATTGCAATGCACTGATWAATCAATATTTTTACCCATCCCTAAAATTAATTATATTTTCTTTTACCTGTAGCTTACATTACACAGTAAAATTACCTTGATCTATTAAAAGAAATGCCTTGATTTTGGATACATTAAAGGGGACGTATTGTGCATTTTCCAGGCACACAGTTCAACTCTTTACCACAATCAAGCAACTATGTTGCCTTCAGTTGTTACAAAAATGCTGATATATATAAAGAATAAATTTAAACACCTTGTAAATGGCCTCTGTTTCTTTAAGAACCTACCATTTCTGACCCTCCCATTTCAGCACGTCTTCACAACAATGCGTGGGATGGGAGTTCGGCTGTTGATTGAGCTCCAGGGAGGAGCTTAGAGTAAATAGGTGGTTCTTTGTACCAACAAGCGTTTAAGCAGCTCCACATGAGTACCACAGGAAATTCAAGGATTTCTCAAACATGCATGAATAAGTCAAAGCAACACTCTGGGTATAGTTTTGATAACATGATATAAAGCAAAAAAAAAAAAAATGTTGATTTTGTATAATATACACCTGCACACCCCCATCCCTGAATGATTAATAACATACTTTCTTCCTGGGTGATCTTTGAAATACTGAAGATAAAATCTTCCTTAACAGTACTGTGACAGTCAGGATGTGCTGTTTAATTACTGCTGTTTCTTGCATCTTTGTCCTTCTTTTGACACATCCATGTGTTGAATAGTTATTAAACAGGTATTTTCTGTATGAGAATTGTCCAGTGGAATAATCAAACATTCACACTTAGGCATGCTCAGTATATCAGATGCTCTCTGCTGTTGTCCACTGTTTATTTCCACAGAAGCCACTGGTTTGTTTCCATCCTTGTTGACTTTTCCCACCAACACATAAATAGAGTTTAAGCCAGAATTGGTGTTAGCCTCTTTACCATTCAAGGGGGGTGGGTTTAATATGGAGAAATGCCACTCTGCTTTTTTTTGCCCCCCTCTCTGTTCCAAATTCTCCCCCTAAGCCTCATTGCTCTCCACTCCTTGGTAACAACTTGCTTGTGGTGTTCCCAGGCTTAGGCTGGTGGCACAGCTCCCAGTTTTGTGCTGGGAGACAGAGGGGTTTCTCAGGAGACTGAACACAAATACAGAGATCTAAAAAAGTTCATCGCCAGTGGGGTTATAAGGTCCAGGATAATGGAGACTTACCCTGAGGAGAGCATTTGTATTTAAAGAAGGGCTGTACAGTGGTGCTGATTGGATGAGCAGGAATGTGTTTGGGAATTCTTTGCCATTGATTGTGTTATTTTGCAGGATCGTCATGTTAAGATGATCAGTGTTTGGCAATTGGCAGTTCTCAACTTGCTAATGTCAAGTAGAAATCATTGCAGTGCTTAGTTATGTGTTCATCTAGTCCCTAATTTGTTTATTTTCTATATACAGGAAGTGTTTTGTTTGGGCTTGTTTTAAATAAACCTTTACTTAAACAGATCTTTAAAAAAGCTAAAAATCTTCTGTTTATTTGCAGAGTGACTTTGTGTTCAGGACACTAATTGTAGCAATTAGACTGGGTTATGGTTGAACTACACCCAGACCTATAGTGGCTATATACAGTAGTGCCTCTATGTTTATGTGTCATTGAGGCAAACTCAGTTCTGAAAGAATGACACACTGAACAAGTGCTTCCTAACATACAAAACAAGTGACGCTGACTTTTTAAATGATTGTAGTGTAAATATTTTCATGCACAAACTCAGATAGGAGCATTTTGTGGTACAGTAAGGGCTGTTGTTTGTTTTAGGTGTCCCTAACCCGGTGGCATGTCTTGAATTATAGTTTAGTTTAGTTTTTTTTATATATAAAATAGAAGCTATGGCCCAAGCATTACACTGATGTAACAATGTTCACCCCTTTTTACACACTATTTGCTTTCTTGTCCTTTATAATTTTTCTTAAATCGCTTCATCATAATAAAAATATCCACAATTTACCATGAATTAAAAAAGAACATTTTTGTATGTGGTGACATTTACACAAACATAATGACATTCTGATGAGGAAAACATTATCTACAGAGCAACAGATGGGTCAGGGGTCTGTATATTTTTTTCTAAATAAATAAGTAAAACAAATTAGCTAGACTAGCTATATTAATAAAAAATACAGTCTGCAGTTGAAGAAATGCAAAAATATTTAGTTAGCATTTATTTATTTACATGTGCCTGTTATTAAAGTTATTTAACTAGCTCCACCTTTAAAGGTTTGATAACGACAGTTAAAAAATTAAACAATGGACTATTTTCCTGTTTGTAAAGTATAAAATGAAAATAGCATAGCTATCCATTTTTTGTTTTTCAATAACACTTTTTAAACCGAAAATTGAATGACCAAAAAGTACACGGAACGTCAGGGGTGACTTTCATTGCTCACAAAAACAACTCGCCTACGTCTTTGCTATACAACTGTATGTGTAAATGAAGGATAAAGTATGTGTTTTATAAAGAGTAATTTGCTTGTTGTGCTCTCACTTTAGTCAAAGTTGTCCCAGAGGCAGCAGCGCATGATAAAGAACCGAGAGTCGGCATCGCTCTCCCGGAAAAAGAAGAAAGAGTACCTCATTTCCCTGGAAGCTCGCCTGAAAGTGGCGCTGACTGAGAACGAGGTGCTCAAGAGCGAGAATGGCAACCTGAAGAGGCAGCTGGAGGGTCTGCTGAGTGAGGTAAGCCCAGAGTCACTCGTGTTTTGAGACTTCTGTAGAGATGAGTACATAAAGTGACTGTACTGCAGCAAGACTGAGTTCATTTCTGATCTATGTCTGCAGTTCTTACATTGTGTTGTAATGTGTTTCCACTTTTCTTCCTGCAGAACACAGTACTAAAGGCGACAGCACCTAAGAGGAGAGCTGTGTGCCTCATGGTAGTTGTGGTGTTCCTAGTGCTTAATGTTGGACCGATGAGGTAAGTTTGGGAATTTGAACATCTGTATTCCTTCATGTGCTTGAATAGTAATTTGATTTGGTGGCCAGTGGCTGAAATTTAGTTCAAACCAGCTACAGATACTGTAGATGAACATAAACTGTTGTAAGGTGAATGCACATGGATTTGATTGCTGGAGGGAAACAAGCGGGAAGCCCCGTGACTCATTGTGAGAATCTTTCTGATGTATTGCAATAGGCAGAAAGAAAGAGCTCACAGAGAACAGTGTAGGGCTTTGTAATTGAGTGAAGAAAGTTCAAAACACRGGAACTTTGTTGTGAAAAATCAACATTTTCCTCTTGAGAAAGTTCAAAAGAGGTCAAAAGTGTGCAACATTTTCAAGTGGACGTTTTTCTTACGGCTGCTTGTAATAGTAATTGTGACAAATTGAAATTTGTAAAATAAAACCTGATTTGGGGGAAAGAAAGGGCTTGATTCCGCCCAGCTAACAGATGGAGGGGTTGTGTAATTGCACAATCTAAACCTCACAGTTTACCTTCAACAATAATGACAGATTCTGTGTTTTCATTTAACAAAAATGTTTGTTTTCTGTTGGGACCGGCTTTTTCCACAAAGATGTAATCATCTACTTGCTGGGTCTGATAATCTGCTTGTGCAGATTTGTTCTGGGAAAATGTTTTCACTTGTTTTCTAGACCTCCAACTTGAATGAAAGTTTTTTGAGACGACAATTGGTTGAATTATTGTGCTGTTAGTGATTTCAGAAGTGGAAGCGTGAAGCTGAAGTTTGCTTGTGTTTTTTGTTTTGTGCTTTGCAGTGGAAGGTTAAATATACACACACGACCACCCTGAGGTTGTATTCTCTTGAAATGGATCCCAGTGTGCACTCAAAACCAGACTTTAGAGTTGTCTGTTAGGGAAAAAAAAACATAACATTAAGTGGTCGTCCCAAGTTCTTGTCTTTTTTTTCTTTTTTTTTTTTTGCTTCATATTCTGATTTCACCATCTTTATTTATCACAACATCTTTATTGTCTCTGTTAAAAAGTTTGTTTCAGGGTGGCTCCAACTCCAACCTGGAGGTTTACTCATCACAGCAAAGTGGCAGACACCTGTTGGGTTTCTTACCAGAGGCGGAGTCCGATGTGGTGATGGGTCCCTGGCCCAGCAGCAGACCATCTGAAAACCCAAACAGGTATCAAGCCAAACCACCAAAACCGGTCACGTRGTAGTATTTACCCACTACATTAGCAGACCAGGATACACCTGTGCTTGTTCTCAGTTCGCTCATTACAGCATGTGTAAACATGTGTGGCAGCTGATTGCCAAAGTTTGCCCAAATGTCTGCTGTTTGAAAAGCTGCAGGCCCCCTGCCAGATGACTGGTGTGTGTACTTTGAGTAACAAAGTAGGGAAAATAAAGCCAGGCCTTGTTTAACATCAAACTTTATATACAGTATGTCTGTCTTTACAGAGAAGTATATATTTGTCTTTCTACTTAAAAAAAAGGTCTTCAAGGCCCAGCAGAGACATTTGAAAATTGCATAAATAACATTCCTGTCTGGCTTATTAGCTCAACATATATGTCATGAAAAAATGTTTTGTAAGGTGGTCAGAGCATCTAAACGTCTRCATTGCATTGCCAGGCAGTGTTGTGTGTTGACGTCTCTATGTAAAGTATGTCATGTGTTTAAAAGAAAAACATTCATCAGAAGTATCATGTTCTCCAGTAGCATTTAACCAASCAGCACCAGCATGAAGGAGATAATTAGATTTAAAAACAGGGGTGACAATAACAAACGCAGAATTTAATGGGGAGAAATGGAAGTAAAGTTTCCACTTAACAGGAAAAAAATGTGTTTGTTTTTGTTACCTTGTTAAGACCTGTTTTGCCAATATACACCAACTTGTGAGGATCCACTGCTACTTTGGAGGACCAAAGCCTCGTCCTTATATGTGCAAATTATATGGTGGGTTAGGTTCAGGCTTAGGTATCAACTGGTGGATGGTTAGCTTTAGGGTTAGGTATCTACTAGCCTGGTAAAAAACAGACCCTGTCCTTCACTTTGCTTCGTACAAGGGTCTGGACTTGCTGCATAGAGAAGCGATTCTTGCAGGAGGCGTGGCCTCTGCTGAAGCGTGTGTGTGTTGTCGCTGTGAAGGAGGCTAAGCTAAGAAGCAAACCGGAAATTACGTGTGCTGTAAACAACCCTACTGGGAGGAGAAATATACCGAGTCGAACGAGATGACTGTAAATGAGAACTGCTGCTTTGTCAGATAAATTTAATTTGATTTGGAAGCCTTATCAACACAGACTGGCTTCATTCACTTCCTCCACTGCCGTATGCTAAAATAACTAGCAGACACTGCGCAGAAAGTCGATGTCGTTCAAAACTCTGCCTTCTGTTTGCTGATTGGCCGAGGTAAAATAAACTACAAGCAGACACTGCGCAGAAAATGACGTTCTTTTCTCTGATTGGCTTGGCTAAAAATCTGCCAGCAAAATCCTTGTCTATGGGAGAAGTCCCAGAGGAAGCAATGAAGGGAAACTAGAATTGAGCAGAGCTGCGTAGGAAGGCAAGGGCCAGACTAGGTATCTACTGGTAGATAGTTAGATTTAGGGTTAGGGTTTAGGACAAAGGTGTTAATTGAGTTTAGGTTAGATTTAGAGTCTGGTAGGTACCTGTGAGGGTAATGTTAGGGTAAATGGTCAGGTTTAGGCTATAAAATTATCAGAAAATGAATGGAAGTCAATCCATGGTCCCCACGGGGATATACAAACAAACCTGTGTGTGTGTGTGTGTGTGTGTGTGTGAGAGAGAGAGATATTTTGGTCCTTCATTTAAAGCTGTCAGGCTGTTTTGTGGAACTGTTTCCAGGCCATTTAGAAACAGGAGGAACAGCCAAAAAGTTAACAAGGAGGCCCAGGGGAAGGATTAAATGTTGGTGGTATACATTTTTCTTCACAAGTCCCCCTCTGGTGGGCACTGACTGTGGACAGGCTACATCACCATGTTAAGCAACTTAATCATTCACTTTCAGAGAAGTATTTCCATTGAGAGCAAAGTCAGGGAACATCTGAAAAGGAAAATTATACACCGATGTTTGCTGCTGTGTAAGAATGTTAGAGCGTATGGGAACAGTTCTGACTCTGGTTGTTGGGTTCGTCTGTCTCTGTCAGACTGGACTGGACCTYTTGAGTTTCTATCATTTTATGAGAATTTTATAGGATTTAACACAGAATCTGTCAGTAGCACTTCATAACTCATGAATTTACTATTCTATATACTGTGTATATGTACYTACAGTGTAAATGTACTTTCACACCATGTGTTAGACCCTTTTCCACAATCAAAATTGGACAAACGGCATCATTTACAGAGATAATTTGCGTGGAAACATSAACTTTTAACAGCTCCTGTCTTCTTTTTATTTTGTTTTAGCGCTGAGGATAAAGCCCTGATGGTTGTGAAAAGTCCCATCTTTCTCAGACCGCCTCCRCCCTGTCAGCCTTCAGTTAACAGGACCAAGTGTATTGAGTAAGCAATGACATGTTATGTGTGGGTTTTTCCCCCCACTCTCTTACACAAGAGCGCAAATTCACCCAATTTTTTTAATTTAAAGTTTCAAAAATAAACACTTGTGTTAACTTGGCAGGTTGGCACATGAGTTGAGAGGATGGATTCATCGTCATGAAGTGCAGCAGAGCAAAACCAGGAGAACGAGCAACAACAACCTCAAACACAGAAGACACATTTTGGTAAATCCTCTCAGCAAATTGTTTAAATCAAGAATACACATTTACTGTACTTTAGGACAAATTTACATACTTTTTGTTGGAAATGCACAGCCCAAACTCAAGTCAGTTTTTATTCAAACTGTTTCATCTCCCCTCACAACTTCATTCTGTGAGGCTCTCATCTCTCTCTCTCTTTTTTTCTTTTTCTTTTTTTTGTTGGGGGGGGGTGGGGGGTGAGATTTTAATCCATAAGAATGTAAACATAACGCTTCATGGGGAGCTGTTGGATTTGTGCCCCCTGCCCTTTTTTCCATCATTTTTTTGCCCAAATCAGTCACAAGTCAGTCAGTAAGTAATGCAAGTTTAATCCAGTCAGGGCTGTGCAGTGTATACATTATTTATATATTAGAAATAGAACAAGGGAACATGTTTACTTCTCACTGTGTTTAGCAGCTGTAACCCTTGAACTTCACACTAATTAAAAGCATAGTTGTTTAATGAGTCCATAAAAATAATACTTCCAAAGCAAAGTTTTGAATGTATTTTAGTATCTGTTGTTTGATGAGTGAAGAATTGTTAAAGTTATACCAGAGTAAATTAGTTCACTCTGTGAAGGATGTGTGTTTTTAATCGCTCGAATAGCAATGGTCTGTTTCTGTATTATTCATAATACAAATAGCCAACACTGTGTTGTGCTTTCCTGAATGGTTACTTATTGTATTTTATACAAAGACTTGAGCTGTCTGTTTTCCCAGCAGAAAACAGAGAAAGAGGAGGCTGACAGGGCTCAAATTGTGCCCGTCCCATATGTAGAGACGACTGAAAAAAAGTGAGTAAAAGCTATTTACAGTGTCACTCACAGGATGAAATCCCATTTTTTCAGGTCTTTGTGTTTTATCTTTGAACAAACGTAATGTGTTTAGGCCAGCTTTAAAAGTAATCGGGCATGTTTAATGCCTCGATGTTATTGGTGTAATAAAACTCTTTAGTTTGGACATTTTACAATAACTCATTTATTATGCAGTGACTTGAAGGGCTGTTTTTTGCACACTGATTATACGTTGGCCAGTTTATTTCTAAGCTTTTCTGCTCTGTGCTGCTGCTCAGACAAATGGAGTTAATTTTTTATTTCCTGTCATAATCTATTAAAATGTGAGGCATAAAATAAAGGTCCTCTCTGATTTCTGCAGACCCTACATTCTTCAGAGTGACAAGCTTTGTCATAATGCAGCTTGCAATTAAACTTTTAGTCTCAATAGCAGGGATGGGCAACTGGCGGCCTGCGGGCCACATTCGGCCTGCGGGTGACTTCTGTCTGGGCTGCTAATGAAAAAAAAAATAAGTTTTTTTTTCTTACTTAAAGGTAAGAGCTTTTTTGAGTGCTTTTTAAGTGAAAAAACAATAAATAAAAACTAATGTTTTATTGTTTATTTTTTGTTTGCGTCAAACATTTTGTATTCATATTTATTAAAGAAGAGTACAACTGTCCTACTTGCATTAAGCATGGGATATGTTAAGTTATATATTGTGTATATATAATATATGGGGTGCAACGATACAGAAAAATCACGATTCGGTTTGGTTCGATATTTTAGTCTCATGGTTTGATATTTTTTCGATACAAAAAAGAGAAATTTCCATGCCCTTTTTAACTTGTAATTTATTGAACTTATTTATGAACATTTGTTTAACCTCAAAAGTACCATTTTTAAATTAAATTTAAACTTAAATTTTGCTGAAACAGCAAGTTTCTCAGTGAATCTGCGCTCGAAAATACAGCCTAGATGGAAAAATCGAACAAAGATCCTCTGATCCTTCAACACAGAGCATCTTCAGAAGACAAGTTCATAAAATAATTGTAAAAAATCTGTATTGTTCAATACAAGTACAAGTGTGAATTGAACCTAAAGCACAGTATTGAACGGTTCGATACGGGTACATGTATTGTTGCACCCCTAATAATATATAAACAAATTTTATATAGTAGTTTTATTAAATTTGTGAATCCACTACATGGATCTATGTTAGTGACAAAAAAAATGTTGCCCATCCCTGATTTAAAGTGTGTTATTGCACTAAACTGTATTTGGTATAAAAACAAAACAAAACTGACTTTTATAATCCTGATCCTCTTATTTAATATGATTGTTTGCTCTGATCAAAAAATAATTTTRCCCCCCATAATTTTTTAACTCATATTGGCTAACAGAGCTGTCAAATAGGACTCAGTGATCAAATGTTACAAAAGTCAGTCGTGTATAGCTTTGACTTGTAAAACAAATATCAGTTTTTTTCTGTTCTTTTCTCATCTGCACACTGACAGAATTTTTCACGTGTTCTCTGTATTCCTGCGTGTCATCAACAGGACTCCAGGCAGCGAGCTGCAGGTGTACTACGCCCCTCAGCACACCTACGGTGACCTCTTCGATGAGCTCAACCGTCGCGCCGACACTTTCTACGTGGTGTCTTTTCGCAGGGTAAGTTGAAGTGGCCGTGGTGCCTGACTGACTCCGATTTGAGAAGAGAAACAGCTGCCGGCTCTCTCACAGCCTGACTCAAGTTTTAAACCGAGGGAAAAAGACAAAGTAAATCATGTTTTAGGGAAAATGTTCTTAGCTCGACATCTTTATTTGGTTTCCGCCGTCATTTTTCAGTTTATTCAACATAATCATTAAACAACTGAGTAATAGATTGTGTCAAGGCTGATTTTTAAATTTTAAATAATAGCAAAGAGGTTTCATTCAAAACCATATGGTTGGGGTTGGGTGTAGCTACTCGTAAGCAGTTGTTTCCACCGGTGTGGTTTGCTCCATTTGCACTCTTTGTCATTTTTTCTGTTCAAGACATCCTCCATCCCTAGGATTTTTGTTGTTCTGGTAAGAAAATTTGAACCATGTGGTCAGACATCATGTTCATTTTTTTTTTCACTTATTAAATCAGAAAGGTTTGGCTGTAAGTTGTCATGGTGACACTGAGGTATTTTGGTTTAAAGCCCTTTAAGTTTGCAGCCGTTTTCTAAAATTAAAGTGACGTCAAACTTTCTGTCAGAATGCTTTTAGTTTTAATCTAAATGCTGCATATCCAGTGATAATCAGTGAGTTTTATTCTTTACTAAACGTCAGATCAAATTATTGTTTTCATTCCAAGCAAATTAAGTCGAATCATTTGTTAAAATTGTTGCTTGTTTTAGATTTGTTTTGGTGGACTCCTTGTTTGGTCTTTTCTGATACATGAATTCAGTAATCATTAATTTTTTTGGCTCGTTTCTTGTTTTTATATATTAAAAAAAATTTAAATGAGATATATTTTAGTTTGACAAGTTGTTTACAGCAAGTAAAATATTGACAAGCTCACAAAATAAAAACTATTTGAACAGAAAGTTTTAAAGAAACACTAAGCAATGCCTTATAAATAAAAACTACAGGCTTGTTTTTCCCCTGAAAGTTTGTTTTTATGCAGAATTTTATGACCTTTTTTTTTTAAATCCAGTTTATTTGTTTTCTGTTTCCTGGGTTTTAGAACGTCGGCGTCTTTGTTCGGTCCTTATTACTTCAACACAAGACTGCCAGAACTCTGGATCAAATTTTGAATTTGTTTAAATTAAGTCCAGCACCACCCATGGCTGACTTTTGTCCCTGGAGGTGAAAATGTTTAGCAGTTCATCACAGCGTGTCCTGGCCCTCTGCAGCAGCCGAGGTCACTCTGAGCAGCATCTTGAATCAGACAAGCAGTCGTGTTTGGGTTAATGTAGCTGTAYGCTATCAGCTGCACCGCCTGTGTGTCTGTTTACAGGTCAAAAGGAGTGATGCAATGAATAACACAACTTTTAAGAAAGGGGGAAAAATGACTTTTTTCTGTTAGTCACTTCATTTTTAGCACCGTTGGTTTTATGCCAATGATAAGATAAAGTTCTGGAAACACTGCTGGCTGTCACTGACGCTAAGGTTGAATAAAATATCATTAGTTGTCATGGGAGCTGCAGCTTGTGTGTATTTTGACCAGTTTGATGGCTGGACTGTGTCCTGATGAAGATGAAATGCTTTCTGACCTCTGGCCCCGATGCGGTTACACAAACGTCTCATTTTTAGATCAACTGCTTATTTTGGCTTACATCTCCTGTTTTGGATTACACTGGTGTGAACATATGAGACCTAATGTTTCTTTCAGGAAAGAAAGACTGCAGTAATACACCTTGTAAATGCTATTTAGGCACACAGCTCTCTTTTATAGCTGCTCTTATTCTCTGTTTTGCTTATTTTCACCTTAACATCTCGTATCTTGTATTCTACTGTGGCTGTGGAAGCCACAAGGAATGGAGTTAATCTCTGACAATTTCTGTTGGATTTCTAATGAAAGTAGCTTTAGTCCTGTTGATTAACATGACTGTTCTAGTGTTTCTCCTAGCATCATTCAAGATCTCCGCCAGGGGCAGTCAGCCTGTTTAAGTGTCTTTGTACTCGTCAGTTTTGTATAAAGTACCTCAAAGTGAATCTTGAGCAAAAATATCTTACCTTAAAATTATTTTGGTAAAAGTTCAAGTCTACTTTAAGAATATTACTTGAGTAAAAGTCTTAAAGGGCCAATATTATGTGTTTCTCGGGCATATAGTTAAATACTATACCATAATAAATCATCTATGTCACCTTTAGCTGTTATTAAAATG